CCTCATGTGGTCACATTTAGTCCAGCCCCCTGCTCAAAGCAGGACCAGCCCCAACTACATCATCCCAGCCAAGGCTTTGTCTAGCCAGGTCTTCAAAAACTCCAAGGATAGAGATGCCATGCCCTTAGCATGAATATATTCCATTGCAACTTCCAGAAAGCCCTCATGAAGTGAGAGGCCCCAGTTGGGTGTTGCACTCTGCAGAAAAGGAAACAAAGGACACAGACCCGTGGCTCTCTGAGCACCTGCATGATAGGTTTCTAGCCATGGAGCTGGTGTTGGGGGCATAGATGGACAGACTGCAATTCTGTTACCCCTGCAGTTGAACACCAGAGAGCACACACGTAGACTGAGAGCGCCCAGTAGGCTTCACCTGGCTAGGCCATGCACAGATATAGACCAGCGCACAAACCTAGAAGACCCCTGCCATGTTTAAGCCCCAGTATCTAAGTGAAGCAGGAGAGCTTGGTTCATGGGACCCACATGGATGTGGACTCGGAAGATGAATCCCTCCAACTTCTCCATTGCCAGGTCTTTAACCCCCCACTCCACTAGGGATTGGCAAGGCCACTTTCCAGCCCTCATGTTGAAGCTGATCCCCTGCCCTCTGTATTTAATGGCTATTGGTCCAAGAACATTACAAACAGGACATTGGGCAAGTCTCTGCTCCCTTCAGGGACAAGGTCCAGGCTAGAACCAAAACCTCTTTTGAAGTCAGGACAACAGCTATTTCACCAAGCCCACATTCTCCATCTTGGATTATTTCTTCTACTCCACATGTTTCCCCACTCTGGGCTGCCCAGTGGATGAGCTTCAAAAGGAGCACAGCAGAGTGAGGCTAGGGTAGGGTTGCAGCCTGGGGATTACAGCACCAAACCTGGAAGCCAGACAGATTCAGATACAAGCCCCCTTTGTGTATGGGGGCAGTGAGAGTCCAGATCTCCTCCTTTCAGGGTGAGTGCCCTCGACAGTCAGCTATGGCACCAGATGTGAACACAGCCATCTCAGCAGGCAATGCATAACACAACAGGATCATTCTTAATAAGCAACATCAGCATTTTGGAGCAAAACCAGTTGGAAGGCAGGTTGGGACTGAAAGACAAGACAAAATTCGGATTATGTTTCTTTCCTTTACTTTGATTTATTTCTCACTGAAAACCTCTCTCTATCCAAACCTGTCTCAACAGCTCCCCGTGCCCCCAGAATAAAGAGGTCGGTGAAAGGGTTGGGTGAATACTGAAATGTCAATACATGCAGTAACTCTGCAGCAATTTGCCAGCTGGGGAACAAAAACCACAGGGGTTGTTCTTAGATGTAATGAGAAGCAAATCCCGAGCTTGTGTTGTTACCAGGCTTAAATGTAGAATTAACTGAATCAAATGTCATGGCCTGTGAAATGCAGGTGATATTAGATGATCTCAAGAGCTCTTCTGCACTCACTCTTCATGCTTATTGAAGAGCAGTTCATGGAGCAAGGTCTCAGCTCATGGGTAAGTACTATTTATAAACAATATTGGTCAAAGCATTCACCGTATTTACAGGGAGGGGCTATGTGGCAAATATGCAAATAGTGCTAATGAGCATAACCTTCATTGAAGCACTTGAAACAAATCACTGGGCGTGTCTACACATTCAATCTATTATGCATTAGCCTATTTTAATGCACCTTAAAGCATCACAAAAATGTGCTCTTTAGCTAACATGCATTAAAATATGTTAATGTACCTCTTTCTAGTACCTCATAAAGGAGGTACTAGATTTAATGCACATTACCTAAAGCACATTAATGAACATGTAGATGCACCCACTGAGCATGAACTGTACCCACTAAACTAGTCATAACCACGATGTAAAACAGCAGGAACTCAGGAGCACATTCACAGAGATGAACTGGTCTGGACCTGGTGTCCTGCGGACTCTTCTTTTATCTATGAGGTGTTACCACACTTCTTTCAGGCCATGTACCATAGGTCCTCTGCAGAGAGAAAAGTCTGAGGATGCCTTGGCGGATCTGCTTTGTTTTGATGCTGTAAATGATAGGATTCATCACCGGTGGGACAAGCAGGTAGACATTTGCCATCAGAACATGAACCACAGGGGATGTGTGTTGGCCAAACCTGTGAACGATAGATACACCAGCCATCGGGATATATAATATTAAGACTGCAAAGATGTGGGACAAGCAGTTGTTCAGAGCTTTGAGACATTCTTCACGGGAGGCGATGCTCAGGATGGTCTTGAAGATCAAGATATAGGAGGCAAAAATTAGCAGCGAGTCTAACATGAAAATGAGGATGGCTAACGATAATCCATACACTATATTGAACGTGATGTCTGCACACACCAGCTTCATCAGATCCTGGTGCAGACAGTAAGAATGGGAGAGTGCATGGGACCTACAAAATGGTAACTTTCTGAGCACAAAGACACCAGGCATCACGATGAAGACGCATCTGCCCAGAATGGCCAAGCCTATCTTGGCTATTCTGCTGCTGGTCAGGATGGAGGCATATCGCAGAGGGTGGCAGATGGCCACGTAGCGGTCAAAGGCCATGGCCAGCAGCACCGAGGACTCCAAGAAGGAAAATGTATGAATAAAATAAAACTGAGTGAAGCAGGCACCAGCACTGATTTGTCTGGAGTTCAGCCAGAGGATGCTCAGCACCGTTGGCATCGTACATAGGGACAAGCCCAGGTCAGCGAGAGCCAGCATGGAGAGGAAGTAGTACATGGGCTCATGCAAGCTGGGGTCCATCTTGATGATGAAGAGAATTGTGCAGTTCCCTTCAAGGGCCACGAGGTAAATGGAAGAGAAGGGGATGGTCTGCCAGAGGTGCCCAGCATCCAGCCCTCGGACACCTGCCAGGGTGAAGGTCAAACACGTGAAGTTGGTGTTGCTCTTTTGACATCCAAGGGTTATGTAGCCAGTCAATTGACCAGTCAAATATTGTCAAGAGAACAAGAACAACACAAAGGAACTCTCTCTGTCCTGCCAGCGGTCCCGTGCACCTGGCACACATGCAAACATACACATGAACATGTTGATACATGCAAACACATGTATGCAAACAGGGCTGACTAGTGGACATGCATGCATGCACCCCCCCACCACACACACACGTGTATACAGTGTGCATATGTAACCCTCCTGCTTAGCAATACCAAGCTCCAGGTTCAAATTCAGGGGGGTTACACAAATGTGCTGCCTTGGGTCAAGTCCCCACCCAGACACCTGGGAAAACAACTTCCCACCGGGTGTTGCAAAGTGAACATGGGTGCCCACACACAAGCCATAGTGAGCTGTGGCCAGGTTTATTCAAGGGGAAAAAAGGGCACACACACAGCCTTTGGGAAAAACTAACATGTATTAAATAGCTCGCTCTAACTGCACCCCAGGCCCTGCTATCAGAGGTCTCTCCCAGTTCCAGCCAAGGGGGGAGCAGCTAGGCAGGCTGCTGTAGCAGCTAACCCCAACCTCTTCCCTGCTCTCTTGGTGCAACAAACCCATGAGAGGTCTTGGCACAAGGGTCTCCATCTTGTAGACATCCTCCATTACAAACCTTGTAGAGAGACAGGCCAGCAAGGCCAGAGTCCAGGGTCTTGCTGTTTGACTGCACCACCAAACCAAGTGGAGCCATTACCATAAGGAGTAGCATGCGTTGTCCAGAGCCCAAACCTAGCTGCTAACCTCAGAGCCCATCCCAAACAAACAGCAGTAAAGTATTTAGCATTAATTCTTCACTTAGCTGAAGGAGGAAGGTCTTCATGATCATCCCTCCATTAACATAACTCCAAATGGGTTGTGCATAGATGTATTAATCATTGTACCTATAGCAATGGTCACCAACCAGTGGATCTCGATCCACCGGTAGATCACAGAGCCTCCTGGAGCCAATCGGAGGCTGGGGTGGGGGGGGCTGAGTGCCCGTGTTCATGCATGCGTGTGCCCCAGCCCAGCAGGTCAGTCCGTAAGGGAGGGGAGGGGCAGGGGGTAGATCGAGGCCCCCACGGCGAGGGACAGAGAGGCAGGAGCAGGGGTAAGTTGAGCGGGGCCCTGGCTGGGTGGGACTTACCCGCTGGAGAGGCATGCCCCCAAATAATTTTTTCTCCCTTGGATTTGATCTGCCCCCCGCCCTGCAACTTCCCTCCCCACAGACCTACCTGCTGGGGGGCAGGGGGAGGAGTGTTGTCAGCGCATGGTAGATCTTGGGTTGCTTTTAAATGCCAAAGGTTTCCTCAAAGCTTTCTTCTGAAGCTGCCCCCTCCCCGGGCAGCCCGGAGAGGGAGATGAGGGGGCAGGAGGAAGAGCGCAAGGCAGGGGCCGTGTGGCTCCATGAGTTGGCTGCAGGTTCAACCCTGGACCCTTGCTCCCTGTGGGAGGGGGAAGCCTTTGCACAGCCCTGCACCCATTTTAGCCTGCGAACATCAAGCCTGAGGGCAGCGGCTCTAACAGTAGGTGGGTGCAGAGCGCCCTGATGCTCTTCTTCCCTTGGGTGGACTCAGAGCAGACTGAATGGGGGGGGGGTCCCCTTTGGTGGGGCACGCTCCGCCCAGGGCACCCCGTCTGCAAGTGGGCATGCAGGGGAGTGGGACTCAAGATGAGTAGGTCAGCTGTCTGCTGGGCCCTGGGGCGCCTGGGACTTCTCCTATGCTGAAGCATCTTGGTGGGGGATGCTGAAGTAGACCAAGGGACAGCCTTGTAGTCCCTAACACCCTTGGGAATATGGCCCCTGGAGTCCAGCTGCCTCCAGAGTTAGGAAGGAGCTGGGGGAGAGGCTTTTGGGATCATGGTTTTGGACAGAGAGGTTTCAATTCAATCTAAAACCTACGGAAGATGCCCAAGTCCTTTGCTGGTCCCGCCACCCCTAGAGCAGTTCATCTGTCCCTGGCACTGTCTCTTTAAGAGAAGAAAGGGCTGATTGCAATTAAGTCTCATTAATGTAATGAGCAACTGCACCACAGTTGCTTAAAAGTGGTGACAGCTGGGATAAGAAAAGCTGTCTCAGTAGAGCTGAGTTGTGCTTGCTGTGTGGGGCTGTCTCTTCTCTTGAAGCTTTCTCAACTTTGCAGGAAGCCTCTGGCCCAGGTAAATGCCCCTTGCTGTCATCTGGGTTGGCTGGTGGTAGTGTTTAGATGCATCTTGGTGTGAGTTTGTCACTGTTTTTTGTTCTGCATGGGGTGTGAATGTGCAATGTAAGCCATGCCATTTCCATGTGTCTGTAGGGAGGCTACTTCATGGGTAGGACCAGGAGTGTTGGGCTTTTCTGTACCTGAGAAAGCAACACCTTGCAGTGTGAGGACCTGGCTTCCCCCACTAAAAGGGGCAGCTGCTAACAGCAGCTGTTTTAAAGGGGGTAGAAAAATAGGGGGAAGGAGGGGGAGGTTAAAACAGCGCTGCTGCTCCTTGCTGTTTTCCAAGTACAAAGTGCACAGGAACTGCAGCCCTGAGTGCCTGGGGGTCCAAGCCCAGAGCTGTCTGGGACTCTTTTCCTCTCTTCCATCTTGGCCTGAAATGAGTTGTCCTGGGCACCCAAGGTCCTGCTCTGGAACACCCCTGCAAAGGCATAGGGGCCTTCTCTGAAAAAAGGATGAGAATAAGCAGGTAAAGCTGGCTGGAAGGGGGTGATGGGGCTGCCCTACACTTCTGTGGGGCAGCCTGGAGGCTGGTGGTGGGAGGATGTTGCTTGAGAGACCCCACAGCCTGCTCCTCTGCGCTGGGGGAGAAAGGCAGTTGTCCTCCTGCAAGAAGGGGAAGGTGCAGTGACTTCATTGCTGGCTCCCAGGGGCACCTGCAGCTCCCTCCCAGCTCTGGTTTGCATGGTGGTGATGAAGGGCCTGGGCTTGGACAGGCTTCTAGGACTCCTTGCTCTAGCTGGATCCCTCCCTGGGTGGTGGGAGCTGAGGCTGGGGGTGGTCATCTCTGCACGGTGCTGCTGGGAGCTCTGTTAGACCCAGTGATGTCTGAGCCATTGGCTTCCTGGCCAAGCCCAGCTCAACCTGGCTCCTCAGGCTAGAGTCTGGGGGTGCCCTGCAGCAATATTCAGCTTTGTGTCCCTGGATAAGCCAGTGTGAGTAGTTGGGCGATGCTGGGGAGGATGGAGAGGAGCTCAGCGTGTGCTGGAGACCAGCTCATCCAGAGAGTGTGGGGAGCTGCTAATGCATCCTAAAGCAGGGCTGGAAGGGGCATCTAGTCCAACCCCTGCATGATGCAGGATCCAAACCGTCCCAGACAAACCCATTGTCCGACCTCTTGGCAACTACACAATCATCCCCAATACAATCACAAGAAGCAACGCCCAATTCTGCCTCGGGTAAAGCAAGGGATCCACCACAGATAATGTCCTGCTGCCATGCAAGGTTAACAGATGCTCAAGAGATTACAGGAAGTGGCTGTGACCTCTGGTCCCTACTAATCTGACCCAAGAGAAATACTCCTTCCTGACTCCAATGCAGCATCAGTCTGACCCTGAGTGATGGGGCAAGACCCTCTAGCCAGGATCCTGCAGATTTAAGTCCCAGCAGAAGCATTGGCATAGCCCAGTCCCCATCCTGAGCCAATGCCCCTGAAGTGAGCAGGAAGCCTATGTTGGGGAGTTTAAAGCACTGAGGTGCCTTATGGATCTCTAAAGGACCAGACACATCAGCACTGATGTCCCCCATGTGCTGGGAGCCCTTGGCACGACTGCACCCATTCAAATGCAGGCAGACCAGCCCCTTCTCTGCAGCTGCTCTCCTGTCCTCTCTCCCAACCCCACCTTGTCCTGTTTGCAGAGAGATGGCAGCGCGGTGGGTCCTGCTGGGGCTCTGGGCAGCCTGCATCACCAGCCCTGGTGGGGCATCATTGCTGAACATCTGCATGGATGCCAAGCACCACAAGGCCAAGCCGGGCCCGGAAGGGGAGCTGCATGGTCAGGTGAGGGAGTGACCGTGACCTTGACCCTGACCCATTAGCCTGACTCTCCCATGGCAGCAGCAGGGGAAGAACCACAAAATCACCCAGACTTGAATGGGCTTGGCCCTGATGCTGGAGTCTGGTGCTTTGCATGGACGTGAACGTGGACAGACTTAGCATTTTGAAAAGGGGGTGCAGATCTTGTATGTGCTGATGCAATGCACCGCAATATTTTTCTCTGGTTAAAGAGAATCTAGAAGTTTTTACTAATATTCCAGGGGCCCCAGACCATATCTTTCAGTTCAAGATAAAAGCAAACACAAGTAACTTTTTATTGCACCCCTGTTCCCTGGGCAGCTTGCCTTACCCCCAATCCATGGAGCCTCTGGCGCATGAGCCCAGCTCCTGGAGATCCTGAAACCACCACTGCTATGGAGTCCCACCACTGCTGTGTGGGAGACCTGCCACAGCCCCCAGCAATAGTAGGTGGTGGTGTCACTGGTGAACTTGCAGCTGCTTGAGGTCACCCATCCTTGGCTTGGTTGTAGTGCACCCCCTGGAAGGCCAATGCCTGCTGCACTGGCAACACCAGTACAGAGGCTCACCAGGACCAGTCCTACCTGTACCGCTTCAACTGGAACCACTGTGGGGTGATGCCACGCAAGTGCAAGCGCCACTTCATCCAGGACACCTGCCTCTACGAGTGCTCCCCCAATCTGGGGCCCTGGATCGTCAAGGTGGGTGCTACTCCCTTGATCATGAGATTATAACCCTGATGCTTGTGCTTGGGGTTTCCCCTAGTGACAGCCCCGTGACTGATTCCCTTGGTCCCAGCTAGATGGGTGGCTTCTTGTCCTCGATAGGAGGAGTTAATGTTGCCAGTGCCAAAGGTGTTGGGTTCAATTCCTGCCTTTTCTCATCTGATGCCAATATCTGTTTTATCTAGGGAGGTCTGTCTGCCTTCCAGTCCTCCTGGCTATTGGCAGGGTGGGGC